TACTCTGCGTTTTCCCCTTTTGAAAGGACCCTAATCTCACGCTGGAGAAAGACCATTGGTGGCGTTCCACTCACAGGCTCCGATGATAGATAATAATTTAAACTGTAACAGCTACTTATTACAGTTAAGTACAATGTTAATCTCGTGCGCCTATTTTCTTTTTCTCACTGCTAGGTCTATTTGACACCGCACCAGCCTGTCCCGGAAATTGCACCAAATGCCCCGCTAGCAGCGACAGTAACAGCGACAAATGACGAAGCTGAAGACACCGCAGCTCTTTGTTCCGTCGACCTGCAAGACTCCGATCCCCTCAACTGCGCTGTTTTCACTCTCCCTAGGCGAGGCAAGACCAGTGTCAACTCTCGAAACGATGTGGCCGACCGACCTCCGACGGGGATACCACCGCTGCCGCGGCCAGTGACACCCTCTCGGCGGCCCGGTCTAGGTCAACAAATCCTGGCCAGGTTGACCAGCTGGCAGGTAACATCACAGTTTCCTCCATTTTTGTGTGCCGTTTTATTTTTCGGTGATTCCCCCCCCGCCATTGATTCTCCGATATGGCGCTAATCTACGCAGTTGTTTATGTGGGTGACAGTTTCGTTAACTGATCAGAATGCTTTATTCGCATAACTGTCTACCCATTTCACATTAGTAGGCACATTTTGTTTCATTACTTTAGTATCGGCTGTTTCCCAGCCGATCCACACCATCGTCGTAGAACATTGGTCCCCCGCGTAACTCTTTATTCGTTTAGTATATCGTCATTTTGTTAGTTTGGTTTATTTTACTTAAGTATATTTTAGTTCAATTCATTATTATGTTTTATCAGTTTTTTTTCTTCATTTAGATGTGTTGTTAGTTTACTTATTGAGGGTTACTGTAGCTTACTTTTGTTTAGGCAGTTTGCTTAAGGTTTAGTTTAGTTTAAGATTAATGGGTAGCATAGGCTTTTTACTTTATTTATTACTTTACTTTAATCTCCTCAAATTTGGACAGTTCCCGGTAATTGTGTAGTTGCACAGTTTGCGGATTTCTTGTTTCCCGTTGGTTTTATTGCTCTTCTTATTGGTAACGCTCTTTTTGCTGCCAAACATTGTTTTTTTAAATAATTGTTCCCGTTTTGTCTAAGTTTATACGCTCTACTTTTTTATTTACCTTTTCTTGGCCCTCTAATGTCCAAAATCTATAATCCTTATCACCACCGGTGCCGTTCTACACATTGATGGAGTTTTCGCGTGCTTTACTGATCACTTAGCGTGACTGTTACCTTGATTTGTATTCTGTTTATGCGCGAAAGAAATATGCTGGTTTGTACGGCTGTCCCAGTTTGCATTTGCATGTGTGTGTTGCATTCCGGTGCACTCTTTTGCTTTGTGTTAGTCCTTGTTAGCCCACCCAAACCACCGCGCCTCGGCGGCCTCTCCCGCAGACGGAGTGCGGACGGTGAACGAACAAGATATGATGGACGACAATAACGGCGCCGCTGACATCTCTTTCATACGCGATTACGCGCAAAAAATAGTGAAAATGCGAAAAGTTTTTACAGGTCGCCTTGATATGCAAAACTAATTATGAAATGTGAATGGCAAAAAAGTAAGGAGTTTGGGAAATAGCCGCGTGCGAAGAAGGTGGAAACGCTCAGGAGGCACAAAAACGACTTAAGACACCTCATGGAGGCGCCCGCGAGGGCGTAAGCGATTCAACCAGCCACACAAAATCGATCGGTACAATCGATTGACACGCGGGCCTCAGGCTAGCGGTTGGACGCACTTGCTGACACTAGCAGCAAAACAGGTACCCCGCTCTGACGATGGAAGTGAGAAGGCTTTTGAAACGTCAGCTTAAATACAACTGGGTTCCAGGAATTGTCCCTTTCTCTTGCTCTTCGGGGGACGATGAAAGAAATATTATATCTGGACCTCAAATTTTTGCGCATACACTATGAGCAGGGAACCCGTGGACTAGAGGTAGTGTCTTGAACACAATGACCGAAGGT